CAAGCTAGTCTTACCACAAGTTTACAGAAAAGGGCCATCTTCATTGATCGACACGCTAATAAAAGTGTACATGCTGTGAAACTCTTGGGCCTGATCCTCCTCTCACTCAGACTTTTGCCAACCAGGAGTAACTCTGCTGGTATCCAAGGACTGACACTGGCATTAAGTGAGAGGAGAGTTAGGCCTCACACATTTAAGTAAGATGTAGGGTGACCAGATGTCCCTATTTTATAGGGTCAGTCCTGATATTTGGGGCTTTTTCTTATATAGGCGCCTATTACCCCTCACCCCCTGTCCCGATTTTTCACACTTGCTCTCTGGTCACCCGACTAAGATGTAAAATGTTTGCGTAAGAAACTTGCCTAGTTTTGGTTTCCATTAGAAACTCTAAACCAGGGGTCGGCAATCTTTCAGAAGTGGTGTGCTGAGTCTTCATTTATTCACTCTAATTTAAGGTTTTGCGTGCCAGTCATACATTTTAACGTTTTTATAAATCTATAATATATAACTATACTATGGTTGTATGTAAAGTAAATAAGGTTTTTAAAATGTTTAAGAAGCTTCATTTAAAATTGAATTAAAATGCAGAGCCCCCCGACCGGTGGCCAGGACCCAAGCAGTGTGAGTGCCACTGAAAATCAGTTCACGTGCCGCCTTTGGCACGCGTGCCATAGGTTGCCTATCCCTGCAACTCTGAGCATTTTTGTGGAAACATTTGTTAAGGGCCTGATCTTTTTTCCCATTGAAATCAATGAGAGTAGTCACCATTAACTTCAGTGGGAGTAGGACTGATTCCTAATGACCATTAACAACCATTGAGTTTTAGGTGAATATGCGCCTAGATGCGAGTGAATCTGGACCTGGGTTCTAGTAATGCTGGTTTCTGCTTCAAGCAAACATGGCAGCTGTAATAGGGCTTGGCTGTGAGATGTTGGATTTGTTTGAACCCCACACCCAAAGGATGCAAACCCACATGGATCGAAACCAAGGAAAATATTTGTATGGCCTCCTGGTTGGGTGGAGCACCATTTTTCACATGGCTCTAGTAACTAAGTCTTTGAGGAGGGATAGAGTTAACTGCATGTATGCCCATTACCCATGCAGCCACACCTAGAGAGCATCAAAAGATGCTCACCTATTTTCACAGTGGGAAATAACCAGGTATTAGTTTTCTAGGAATAATCAAGAGGAATCTAGGTCTAAATCAGAAGAAGACTGCCCTGTCCATTTGATGAAATTTGCTTGCAAACACAATGCTAGTGTAAAAACAAAGAACTTATTTTAATGGTTATAATATCTCCTCAGACTCCCACATAAGAGTGGAACATAAAACTGCTTTGTTTGAGTAAAATGCCCTATTCCCTTAGTTTGATTGTTGAAAGGTATTTAAAATCAATATAAAACTGCAATATCAGAAAAATTTATAATCATTATTTCAAACAGGCAGACTTGAAAGAGTCTCTTGTTCATGGGGAAATCTTCAGTTAGTTTTTCTAGTACCAGTGGTTCAATCGAAAGATTCACCAACTGCCCCCTGGAGAAAACCAAAGATCTGCATTTAAATGGAGATATAGTATTTCCAAATGCACAGTACCTGGAAGGCAGATACTGTCAAGGTTTCTTAGTGAGTGGATCTCAAATTGTATTAGGTACATTTCAGCACAGTAACTATCCCCATTTCATAGGAGTAGGACTATTTCCATATCATTTTTTCTATGTGCATACTTTGTAATATTTGTCCTAAGTTAAAATTCAACCCTGATCCAAAATGAAGCCCTCATGTACTAACAACAAGCAATTACTACTTTATATATAATTTTCTGATATGCACAATGAAGACCATACTAGATTGCCTGTCTAGAAATGTTAAATAATTGAAAAGTATGATGACTTAATAGAATAGTAAGCTTGGTTTACAATGCAGCCAATTTAGAGCCATAAAAACACTGTAAAATTTTTATCTTGCGGTTGACCATTACATATCCTATTTATTATTCAAAAGTATTTCAACAGCGTTTTTCTTCATTAATGTGGCTGCTGGCATTTAACACCAAGTCTCTACATTTGGATAATTTTCCAAATACAATTTTAAAACAAGCTAGCTAAAATTCAGTAAATCACAGCATAAATGCTATATTTTCATATTTTACCTTAAACTTACTTGGTGGGCTGTAAAATACATTCAAAACCCACAAGACTCCGTAATCTCATAAATCAAAGCCTGTATATGTGTGTGTCCCCTATACATAACGTTTAAAAAGCCAGTATAACTACCTCTGGATGACACATCAGAAAACCAAAATCAAATCTTATAAATACTTTTTTCCCCCTATTGTATACAATTGCAAAGATGTGTCTTCCTCTTAGTAAAACACTATAACCTTCCAGAAAAGTTTTGCATGAGTATGCTGTTAAGGCATATATAATGTTTATAGTGAAAAAGACACTCACGATCAATTTCAAACACACAGACATTAGTCTAGGCAGCCTCTTGCTGAAATTCTGGTTGCAACTGAAATGTCCCTGTAAACAAGGTTACTGAGAACAGACCAAGATATCCTTCTCAGCAACACCTTCACCAGGAGCCCTTCAGCTGTCTACTTAGTTTGTTATACCTTATCTTGCAGCACTGACATTCTAATGCTGATTCAAATTCAGGATTCAAAATGAAAGATGAACTATCTTTAAGATCACTTAATATTGAAATACTGTTGCAGTAATAAGTGGTGCTAGGTTTAAGATATGGATATAGTACTCTAATAGTAACCTTTTAATTTCTGAAAAATAGTGCAGAATAAATGAGGTATTGCACACAGTTACTGTAATTGATGTATTTGCTGTATTTTGATACTGAACACATCAAACGCCATGTTTACCTCCTGCTGCCTCTTGAACATTTTAAACTGTAAAGTCCCCCTAGGGGAGACCTGTCAGATTCCAGTTTGTGCATTTAAAAATTCACTTGTTACACTGATACTTTAAAATACAGGGAACAAGAATGTAACCATACAAATCATTTCTTGATCCCAAGCCCTTGGATGTTTTCAGTGGAAGTGCAATACAGGGTTGAATGTCCATGCGTACAATCTAACTTGGGTTATGTTGTGAGTACTCACATTTTAGCTTGGAATTTGAGATATATCAAAGCTTTACACTTCTTCACATTTAAAATGGGATGGGGGTGGCAAGGAAAACAGAAGATTCCAAAATCTTTTTTTCCCCACTAACTGCCTGCTGCAGCTCATGTACTTCCCTTATACAACCAAGGAGCTATGTTCATAGTTCTTCACTGTCTTTTATTTGAAGGGCATTCAAATTTCCCTCCCTCGCACAGACTGTGGTACTGTCTCAATTTTTATGTTTTGTTAAAGTCCCCTTAACTACATCAAAATGACACAGTTGGGGTTAAAAATCACAATAAAATGGGATCAAGGCCCTCAATTCCGTCCTTTCTACCCCCACCCTCCTCCTTTACTTTACTTTCTTTTTAAATTCTACTCATTTTTATTTGCCCCTTTCATTATTCTGCTCATTTCTGAAATGTATTCCTCCTATGTGATTTGTGGTAGCCTGCGAAATCTTTTAACAACAGTACACCAAGTAGTCAGAGAACTGCCCCTGCAGCACTTCAAAATATATCCTCAGACCACTTTATCTTTTACAGCATTAATGGTAAGTTAAAAAACAAATGTCAGGCAGGTCACATTTAGACAGCAACATGAGATCACTTCTGTAAAACCCCTCCAGATTGGAGCTGGGGTACCACCACGATGAGAACTACATTCCACGTTCCACACTTTCCTTTTGTCCCCCCCGGATTTTGTTTGCAAATGACTTGCTTTCTTTGTGCGTATAGATGTGTCATGTTGCATGTCCACTGATTCTGGTACATACTACAACACAAACAGAGCAAACGTGCTTTCCTAGCCAAGCAGCCCAATGTGGCAATTTCACAACATCACTGAAGCAACCAGGCTACAGACAGAAATAAATAAATACATAATAAATAATAACAACGAGAATCCCCCCACCACAGTGACATACAGGGTTTCCACCAGGCCTGTTTGGCTCTTGTGAATCACTCACAGAAATGTTTAAGGAAGAAGAAGGGGAGGGGGGAGGAAAGGGAAGCGTCTCTCTCTCTGGGTCCGTCGCTCTTTCCTTAGGAGCCTAACGAAGCTGAATCTAGAGGGAACCACTGCATCGTGTTGGGCCGATGGGGGCTGCTCTTGGCAACCCGGGGACCGAGACAGCAAAGCAGCAGCGAGCCAGGAAGCCCGGGGACCGCGGAACTTCTGAGCTCCCTGCGAGGGGCGCTAAGGAAGGCTGCGAGACACACTCGGGGCAGCAGCGGCCACCACACACAGTGACAACAGCTGTAAAGTCAAGTCCCCCTACCCCTTTCGCAAAAGCAAAAGCCGCCCCAAGGACCCTGTCCCCTAACTCCGGCTCGTTAAAACCTTGTCACTTTCACAGCACTCTTGGTCCTTTGGAAAGAAGGGAAAGGGGGGGGAGGGAGGGTAGAGCAGGACAAAACCTGCCGGGTTTGGATCTGTCAGCAGAAAAAATACCAATCTATATATAATATAGTCTTTAAAAAACGCCAAAGAGCTGAAAATCGATTATCCCTGGGGCCTGGGCTTTGTTGTGTGATTTTTATTTTATTTTATTTTTTTAAGGGACTGACTCTAAGCAAGTGAAATTGACAAGGTCTGAAGGTGGAAAGGGGGGAGGTAATAGAGCTTCTCTCAGCTGCTAGTCTCAAATCAAAAACATGCCCCAGATGCGGTGTCAGTCTGCAGATGTGCATGATGGTAAGGTTGGGACTCGGTTTACCTGGTCAGGTCAGAACCGCAGGCAGGTTAATCAGGTGAGTCGTCGGGGATTTTAAAGAAGCCGAAGCCGGTTTCTTTGCTAGGAAAGTCTACAACACCATGCAGGGACATTGCAAAATCTTTACACACGCCTCCTTTAACTGGGCTCCCGCGACCTCAGCCGGCGAAGGGGGGAGGCTTACCCGAGGCAGGCCCAGGCCATTTCCCCATGCCCTGACCAGGGGATCAGCGGGCTGCCCCGCGGCACCGGGGCCCCCTAAGCGGCTGCTCTGCACCGGGCGAGGCGGGTTCTAAGGGGATCCACGGAGCGGCGGGTGCTCGGAGGATGCGGAGGCCTCCCTGTTTCCTTGGTAGAGTCGATCCGCACTCAGTCTGACCCAGGACGTCACTCTGCCTGTCTGTTTTCTCAATGATAACTTGGCAGGAGAAGGGGGAAGCTGCCAGGTTTTCCCTGGGCTCATTACCTGGTATGTGCACGTTTCTTTGCATGCATTTGGGGGGGAGGGGTAATGACTACTT